GCCTAGAAGCTTACCGGGAAATAAATGATCTGTTTGGGTTTCTAACAGATTTCTCGACAAAATCCGACGCTGAAATTAGACAGGCTTGCACAAAGTTTAAGGAACATTATTTCGAGGACATTGAGCCTGAGTTTATAGACGAAATGGTGCAGTATAAATACTTCATCTTACAATTAGAAGACGCCGGAAAAAAATTGTGCCTGCCGAAGAGTCTTACAAACTGATTATTGGTAACATGGCACAATCAACTTTCCCGAATGTAATGACAGCTTTGCAAATATATAGAAGTCTAATGATTACAAACGCCACTGGTGAACGAAACTTTTCCAAATTGAAATTAATTAAAAACTGTCTTCGTTCAACTATGTCTCAAAACCGTTTAAATTCATTGGCCATAATGGCAATTGAAAATGATGTATTGGAAAAGGTTAACTTTCAGGATGTCTTGAACGATTTTGTAACAAAAAAAGTTAGAAGAGTTAATATTTAAGCTTATTGTATGATTTTTTTTTAAATGCATATATTAATTACTTATATTTTTTTCGTTTGATTCAATATTTTTATTGAATAATGTACCTATGTAGTAAAAAACAGCGTAATTATAAATAAAGTGTTGTGTTAGCGAAAAAATATATTAGGAAGTTAGAAGACGGTAGGGGGGCCGAGACGAGCATTGCCTAGGGGCCGCGACATGCATAAGCCGGCCGTGGTTAGGGGAGAAGGAGCAACAGGTGTTATCAAATTGCTGATTATCTCAAAACTGCATGTTTCCCAAGAACGGAAGTTAAGCCCTTTTGTGGATTAATAAACGAATTTCATTATTTTTTTTACTTTTTTCCTTCCTTTCAACCATATTGCAAAATTGAAAACTCTTAAATTATAATATTTCAATTTAGCTTTAGCATTAAAAAAATATTTCAATTGCGATAGTTTTGAAATCTTGTATAAGTAAATATTTTCCCGACTTACAATTATTATTACTGTTTTTAATTTTTCGTTCTGCATTACATTCTATTTTTCAATCCGTCATTGCAATATGACTTACTTCTCTTTTAGTGTAGGTGGCTTAACAAGAACTAATGAAAGAATGGACCTTTTTTGAAGCATTGTTTTAGATCAAAAATTACAAAATTAAGAGAAAAACAAAAAAAATGCTTTAAAGGGAAAATTTACTTTTGTTGCAGAGAATGGCTCTTGTGATTAATTGTTCTCCATAATTATTTCTTTCTTTTAATCCTTTTAAGTTTTCAAAGAAATATTGTGTGGTTCATATTTAAACTTAAATATATGTTTCACTCCTTCCAAATTTACATTTTGGCTTAAAAATACTCAAAATTTATGTTTACATTATAGCTTTTGTGCCTTGAGTCAAGTATCTCAAAGAGCAAATTAGATTATTTAGCATTATAAAATAGGTCTTTTTTCTAACAATGATCACTATTTTGTTATTACCAATTTCTGCGCTACAAAGATTCAAATTCTATCCAAAGAATTTGAATCTTTGTAATCATTTACGATTCAATAATTAGAAAAAATTCCAAAATCAAAGTTCATGTGTTGGATCGATTAAGAACAATGGGGACAAACTTAACAAAAACAATACAACAACAAAAAAAGCTCAATGGAAAGTAAAAAAAAAATATGCCCTTCACAATAGGCTAATATAATATAAGTTAGTAAAGCATAAATTAGCGTAATTATATATTATAATCAGGTCGTGTAAATTTTACCCGATGGCATTTTAGGTGATGAGTAAGGCCCGGATTTTGATGACATTTTCATTTTTTTGCATTTTTGGACATTTTTTGTTTATAGGGCATTTTTCTTTAAATTTTGGGGCGTATTTTGCATTTTAATGCATTTTGTAAAGTTTTCGGTTAATTTTTTCCAATTTTTATTATTTTTTTATCAATTTTCATTATTACACAGGCTTCCAAACAATGAAGAAAATCTATAGGATATTAACAGGTGAAGCAAAATCTTTTCAAATTGAAGAATTGTCAGTAAGTGAGACCGTCTTTTTCAAGTACACACCTATAACATCAGTAGACGTTGAAAGAAGCTTCTGCAGGAATGAAAATTTACTTTCAGACAAGAGACGCTCGTTTACATTTCAAATTATCAAAAAAAAAATTAATAATCCAATGTAATTCTGATATTCAGTAATATGAGATGGGAGTTGTTATATCCCTCAAAGTTTCTCTACAAAAGAAAAATATTTTGGTGTCAATATATTTTCCTTTTTTTTGTTATTTTAGGATATAAAACATATTTTTCAAACTTTAATGAACGTAGAACAAGTATTGCACTGCTTTATATTTTTTAAATGACTCATAATAATTTTAAAGAGCAAAACATTTTTTTAATTCAATATTTTTACTTTATTTAAGGCATTTTTTGCGCAATTTTTGCATTTTTAAGGGCATTTTTGGCACTTTTTAAGGGCATTAGTTGAGATTTTTTAGGTCATCAAAATCCGGGCTCTAGTGGTGAGCAAAGGAAAACAGTCACTAAAACAGATTGTTATATTGTTGGAGGTAATTAATCGCTATGTGAAATTTTTAATGTGAAAAAACTTTAATCTTTCTACATGACAAAAATTCTGTTGTTTTTCTAAGGAATGTGTAATAAACATACACGCTTTCACTGAAAATGCAGAAATATTTCCCTTTTTGTGATGCCTATATCACAAAAAGGAGGGGGAGGGGGGTTTAACAAAATAAACATACTTTTTTCTTTTTAGCCAAAAAATATAGGGGTAGCCGCAATCTAGAAGTATGGTCCCCATAGTTTGGGTTAGGAGAGCGATATCTAAAGTTTGGACCCCTTAATTTTACTTTTTGCGTAACTCATGAACTTTTTAAACAAATTGAAAAATTTTTGAACACAATTATAAATTTCATTTATTTAAAGATAATTCCATGAAAAAAATAAGTTTTGGTAAATATTTATTTTTTTTATTTAATAGTAGTCGAAAAAAATTTCAATGGTGAGGTATACAATATTTTACATCACTTTAAAGTATGCATTTTTACATGGCAAAATACAAAATTTTAACGAAATAAGTTGAATAGTTCCTGAGGAATCGAACTTTAAAGAGATCGTATATCTAAAATTCGATTTTTTAGAAACTATTAAACCGATTTCGTTCAAATTCTGTTAATTTCTGTTTGGCAATAATAGGACGATAAATTCTACTGTTCGCTAATGTCAAGAAATAGTTTTTGTCAAGCACACAGAGGTGCAGTTAGAAATTTAATTTAGGTTGCATTAATAAATTTGCAGCGTAAAATTACTTACCTTAAAAATTTGTAAAAATTGATGTAAAAATTTGTATACATTACAATTCAAAATTTTTTCGACAGTTATTAAATCAAATAATAAATTTTAAATCAACCAAGTTATATTTTGCGTGGAATTATTTTTAGGTAAACAAATTTTTTTTAATTCGGTTAAAAAGGTCTCGATATATGTTGAAATACGCGAAAAATAAAATTAAGATCAAGGGGTAAACTATTGGGACCATATATCCTCAATTGCAGCTAGACCCTATATTTTGGGGTCAGAAATCCGAATTCGTTAAAAAAAAAAAAAAAATTACGTTTATTCAGAGAAAGTACCTTTTTGTGTTTGATTTTGTAGCTCAAAATATCGTCTGCATTAATTAATTAACATATTTCAGGTCACCCCCTTGAACCA